AATTCTTTCGTCATTGTATTATTCATCGCACTATGGTACATGTGACTAACCACTCTTCGATTAGTCATGGACACTTCTCTGTAGTATATAAGGACTTCAGATTGCGTCCTCCCTCTTCAGTCTTTCCTTACTGACTGAAGAGTGAGTACTTCGTTACATCTATCTCTAACTTGTAGTTACTTACTTAACCTTTGTAGTCTTGCTTCGACTCTAGGTACAGTTCGTTGCTGCAATATAGTCTTTCCTTACTGACTGAAGATCTTGCTTCGACTCTAGTTGGATCTAATCTTTGTCTTCACAGCCCCGAGTTTATCACCACTAGACTGAGAGTCCTCTGTACAGGATCTCTTAGAAACTCCGACAGATACTTGTCGACAAGCTCCCACTGGGCGTTCACTGCACTGTATGTTATCTCAGTGGCCTTTCTTCATCTCAATGTACTCCCTGAACATTGTCTCGCATATATGGTTCTCGACTGCTGTCATTCGGGGACGGTGTCTGGTACACTTCCTCAGAATCCAGCTAGACTTAACAGTAATTCGGAAAGCGTAGATCTACCTAACGTCGAAGTGTTGTCTCCCATCTCCCCGTAGGCGTTTCCTCTCGGTATTTCCATTCGAGAAAATAAATAAGCCTCCTGATTGTCTCAGCCCCGTTAGTCGGACAAGTGGTGGTTTTGGTAAGCTTGGCTTCAGCAGGTCGCTTTGTCATTCTACCGATTCTCATCTTGTCTCAGTCAAGATGGACACAATACACGACGTACACGTCAAAGGGGATTCCGTTTCACTCCCGACACCTACTAACGCTCTCAATGATGTTTTGCCTGGGCCCCACGTGGTGTGCAGGTCTTCAGTTTGCGTATTCCCGCCAAAAGAAAATCACGTCACGGCTCGTTAGACTTCATGGTTGGCTTGTTTAGAAGCTCAGCTAACCTTCAGGAGAAGAAGGACAGGGGGCATTTTTATCGAGGTAAGCTTCGCAGACAATATCGCCCACTAACATCGCCGTTCATCCGAGACTCTCAGGCCTCTACAAGTCTCCTCAGTAAACTTGCATCACTGCATGATACATTTCATGAGGTTCCTTATACTTACTGACTTCCTATAGGTTTGAGACCTGACTACAACAACAAGGACTTGTTGTGGGAGCTCAGGTATGCCTCCGGTGTTGGCTCCATGTTGTGCGCTACTAGAAATAGCGGCTAGGAAGCAACTGAAAACGGTGACGGCAGAGGCTAACCAGAGGCTTGAGGCGAAGCATAAAGGACAGGTTGGATTCATGAACTACTTCGTGACTCCACAACCGCGGGTATGTTGTGTACGTCTTGCACTTCTCATCTCGCAGGTTGATAAACTCGGGGCTGTGAAGACAAGGATTACAGCTAAGCGCTAGGAGACGCATAGCCTCGTGTAGTCCGGACTGGATAAGTCCAAGTGTTGAACAGGCGCTGGTTTACACAGCTTGCCTAACACAGCCGTCACAAGATATGGAACGGCACAGCCGGTTACTGCAATAACCGAGGCTGTACTACTCATGTGGTACACACACAGCTTCGCTGTGTACGCGCTGCTTCTCTGTGCGACTGTGCATCCTGGGAATGTACTGTATAGTACTACGTAGCCACAGATGTACAGTAGTATATATAGGGGACCTCTGTACCCCCAATCTACAGTTCAGTTCACTCGAACATCTCCTCTCATCACTCTTACAAGCCTCTTACAATCAACCAACTCTTCTAGGTGAGTTGCAGGCTATCTGCTGTCGTTGCCACCCGTGGGAGAGGCCTTCGCCCCCCGGGTTCAACAGGTTATGAGCCCTGCTCGACGCTGCAGAATCTGCGCTGCTCATTGCGTGCTGCG